TATGACCTCAACATTGCAATATTTTTTACTTAAAAAACAAATATTATCAATAAAATTTTAAACACACGTTAACACAAATACTCAAAGAAGTGGGTAAAAAATTCACAATATACAAGTTCCAACCAGTAGAACAGAATTGAAGTCATATAAAACACAAGCATTTTTTTGTTTTTGGTACGATTTATTCCGCACAAACTAATGTTTGGTAAATAAAATTTTTATTAATTACATTTGTATGAGAGATCTAAGAAAAATACACAAATAATCAATAAATTATTATTATTATTATTATTTAAAAACACACACACACACTCATTACATTTGTATGAGATCTAAGAAAAATACACAAATAATCAATAAATTATTATTAAAAAACACACACACTCACATCCTCAAGAAGACAAGTTTTACAATATAGAAGTTCAACTAGGAAAAATGATACTTGTATATGCATGACTCGTTTAACTATAAATGATGCTTGGTTACTGATAGATATATAACTTTGTGATCTCTATATTGATTATTAATTAATTAATTAATTTATTGATTATTGATTCACTAGTTCAAAATAAGATGTGATTTTTTTAGCTTTTATATATAATTTTATTTTGCAAGAAAGGGGTATACTGTTTTGTTACGACTTCAATTCTGATACTGTAAAAATAAGTTTTGATCTTTTTATCTCAAATATAGGTCTAATTCCATAAAACCCCATTACTTTCAAAATTTGGTCACAAACCTTCAACTTATTTTAAAAAAACTCACAACACTTTAAAAAATGATCAAATTGCCTCCAAACCCGTGTCCGACCCTAGGTCATGAAAAGTCAAATTTGACCCTATGATTTACTAATAAATAAAAATTTGATATTTATTATTTAAAATTGCGGAACTACCCCTAATTGGGTCTTCTCTCTCTACATTCTCTCTCCTACAACCCGATGACAAACTTGCGCTGGCGACGCTAGGAGAAGAAATTGCCCGGCGATGCAAGGATGAGTGAACGACGACGGTGAGGCTTGTGCTTTGAAGTCGGCAATGCGCGATGAAGTTAGGAGGAACCGGTGGCAATGAAAGGCAGTGAGCAACGACCTACCGGCGAGCACGCAAGGACGGCGGTGCACTAAACTTACTGGTGCGCGGGTCCAAACTGAACTGCGGCAACAGAGTGAACCAGCGAGCACGCAGATCTAAACTGTAGCAATAGAATTTACCGGCGAGGACACATGTCTGAACTACAACCACAAAATGAATAGGCAAGGCAAGTCTAAACAGACAAGACACGGAACTTACCGGCAAGCACGCCAATTGAACTGGCGATGAGAAACGGATCGGTAGCAAGAAATTGGATGCAGTTACTAATTCATGATCTGGCATGTACAGAATGAAAACTTCATTCTCGATTCTAGGAGAATTTTTATGAAAGCCTTTCATTTGCTTCTCTTCGATGGAAGTTTTATTTTCCCAGAATGTATCCTAATTTTTGGCTTAATTCTTCTTCTGATGATCGATTCAACCTCTGATCAAAAAGATATATCTTGGTTATATTTCATCTCTTCGGAGTGCAAGCCCAGACTATGACAATGAGGCCGTGTCAATGTCACGATTCTGGCGGAGAGGTTGTTGGTTAAGTTCTATATATGGGTTATGTTTGGGTGTGATTAGTGCAAAAGTTTTGCAATTGGGTCTTGTGGCTTGGGTTGGGGTCCTGTAATTGTGTTTAGAGCTATTGGGTCTTGCAAGCTGTGACAATGTGCCTGTTGAAGAAGATGAACAGTGCAAAAGTGCATAAGGTGGTGTTTGGGTCGTGGGAAATTAGGTTTAGGTAGTGTTTGGGCTTGTGAGTCTAACAGTAACAACACATATATAATCAGGGGTAATTATGTAATTTTAAATAATAAATATCAAATTTTAATTTAATAGTAAATTATATGGTAAATTTGACATTTCGGTTGGGTTTGGGGAGAATTTGATCATTTTTTTAAATGTTGAGAGTTTTCTTTAAATAAGTTAGAGATTTCTGATCAAATTCTGAAAATAGTAAAAGTTTTATGAAATTACCTCTTAAATATATAATATAATTTTCATTTGCAAGAAAGAGATATTTTGTTCGGTCAAGAGTTAAGACTTCAATTCTGACATTTTTTTTTATTTTTTAAATTAAAAAAAATCAGATTGTAGACAAAAATTGAAAGGCATACACATAGAATCATAGACAGATAGATAGAAAGTCAAATAGTACATTTGATCAATTATGTGATAATCATGATTTTTTTTTTTCTTCTTTTTTGTATAGAGATTTATTTAGAAATTAAAATAGTAGGTCAAAAATCTTAATGGGTCATTTTTTATATTAAAAAGTAAGAAATATTTTTTACGCTAGAAGATTTCATCTAGTTACTCAAATCAATTAATTTCTCTCAAACTATTAGGGTCTGTTTGGTTTGATAGATTTAGATGATGGAAAGTGAAAGTGAAGTGAAAGAAAATAAAATTAAGTTTCCATGGTGCATTTGATTATCATGAAATTTTTCCAAGAAAGTTGTGAGAAAATATTATATTGTTAGTTTGGATAGAATAAAAAAGAAAAGATTGTACTCGTCAAAATTGTCCTTATAATTTTAAATACTAAAAATATAAATAAAGATGAGTAAAATTAATTCATGTATCAAATTTTGTTATTAATAATAATATTCTGAACTTGTGTGAGACACCAAATCACCCGAATTTCTCTACTCAAAAATATTTTAATATAATATAATATATATATGATTTAGACCTTACAATTTATATAGTAATTGTAAGGATTTTGATGAAATCGAATAAAATTAGGATTGTTCTACTAGGTGTTTGTTTGTATATAATAGAATAACCAAAACCAATAGAATTTTACATATAACAATCAAGTTTATGTGGGGATTTTTTTATTTTTTTTATTTCAACTAGAATTATATAACTATTAAATATTTTGTATTATTCTTTTTAAGGAACGTCTATATTTCCTAAAATTTATAATAACTCTAGTATTAAAATTCTAAAACCTAGTTGATATGTATATATATACATATTGAAAATTAATATAATGCACTTAAAAAATATCCACCATAATATGTTATATGTATATATGTATTTGGAAGGGGAAAAAAACACAGAAAGAAAAAAAAAAAGGGAAAAAAAGAATGAAGCAATAAAAATAGATTAAAAAATAATTGCTAAAAATAAGATCTCTACAATTTCACGATTTCATTTACATTTGGAAAAAAAATGTCTATAAAAAAGGGATAAAAAGATAAAGGAAACCCAAGTTATCCAACTTTCCTGAGAAATAAAAATTTTCCCTAGAAATAAAAATTTTCTAAAAAAATATCCACCATAAAAAAATATCCACCATAAAAAATGGGTATAATAGGAATTTAAAATATAACTTAACAACTTTCCTGAGAAATAAAAATTTTCGTGTGTTTTATGCAGGAATCGTTTTAAAGAAAATTAGATACTTGCGAGAATTCAGTTTTCTGAAAATTTTCCATTTCATCATAAACAAACGCAAATTTTTTTTAAATATTTTCCGATTCTTTTCTTTTCTTACTAGTTCTAGCTAATCAAATAAGGGAAAAGAGCCAAAAAATAAAAAATAATTAAAAAAAACCTCCTATACACGTAATGTGCAAATAACTCATGGTGTTAAAAAAAAAAAAAAAAAAAAAAACCTATATTTTTAAATTGAGCAAATAAGGACAATATTTCAAATTGAAGACTAAATACCTCAAATACGCTTCAAACAAAATAAAATTTAAAGATAAGAAATAGAAAATAATAAAAAAAACTAAAAAATTTAAACAAACTAAGGGATTCTATGGACAGAAGTACAGTTGATCAACGCAAGTAGTATTCCTATTCCAATTATAGGAATACAATTCCTATTTTCTCTTATTTTTCCAAAACACTTGCTTACTAAATAGGGTTAGAAGTGGGGTTTAATGGGTCATTTATTATTTGGTTCTTAATGGGGTTAATTAAAGTACCAATAATAAGATTTTCAATATCACCTTTGTTAATCCCGAATCCCCGAGTTGGTCATGTGACAGTACCTAGAATGACTACTTGAAAAAGAGAGAAAAAGATCATTGGTTTGTGCATGCCCTTCTTCTTTAATACCAATATAACATGATTATTACATAAGTAGCACGATAAGACACGCGTAACTCGTTTAATAAATGAATCAAGACTTGACACGATACGAAATGACACGACAAGACAAGTTTAAGTCATTTCTGACACGAACATGACATATTTATTCAACACGTTTAATTAAATGACTTATTTTTAATACGAACGCGACACGTTTAATTAAATTGGTTAATCTAGTTATAAACAGGTTGGCAGGTCAAACACGAATATAACACGTTTAATTACTGAATTGACATGATTACGACACAATTAAATCAAACCCAAACCCACTTATCTCTTATCGTGTTAGAGTGTCGTGTCAAATATTGCCACACATTTCCGCTTTGTTCATTCTCAACAAAAAATTTATAAAACCCTCCAAAAAAAATATTTATTTTAGTATTTATTAATTTTAATATTTCATTTTAATTTTATTTATTGAAAAAAGAAATACCTAAAATTTCCTTAAAGTTATCTAATGAGTGCAATAGTGTCCCGGCACGACCACCTGTCTCGGCCCTAAATAAAATTGAGTTCTTACTTTTCAACTAAAATCAAGATCAAATTGCAATTTACACCATTCAAGTCCAAAAATTTTCAGACTAGGTTCGAGTTAGTCCGGGTTGTGCTCGACTGAGTTGCAACCCTAATTTGTTAGGTATTACCAAGGTAGTATTATTTTTTTAAGCTATGGAGCCCTAATTCAACATCCAACAGTTATAGATAAATATACTAAAAACCCGGGGTCCAAAGAGCAAAACCGCCTTCGAGAGGGACTGTGTATGTATGTCAGCTCTTCTATATAAAACGCCCCCTAACTCCGTTTCAAGGGTTAAACAAAATTCACACACAAAAGAGACCCCTTCACCCTTCGTCTCTCTCTCTCCTCTTTGCTTTGGGGTTTCGCTTCGCTTCTCCTCTTCTCTCTCTATACAACTTTCTCTCTCTATATATACACACATATATACATCTCGGCGTTTTCTCTGTATATTCGACCCTTCGGATGTTTATGCATCCATGCCCCTCTCTATCAACAGCAAGGTCACTCCTTTTCCCTATCTCTCTCTATGTGTGTGTTTGTGTGTTGTGTGTTGTGTTTGATCTCTTTATTCATCTTTTTTTATCAATCGAAACCCTGATACATTTTTCTGGGTTTTGTACTTGTGTGTTTGTTTCTTTAATCTTTTCAATCCTAGATTCGATTCTGATTTTCTGTTGTTTATATGCTTCAGTACATACAAGTAGAGGAGTAGAGGTCACATGGCAACCCTAAGATCGAGCTTTCCGTCAAGGTTGCGGCAGCTTTTATCTGGCGAGGGAGCTATTGGTCCCTCTCTCAAACTCGACTCAGAGCCTGTGAGTACTTCCATCATCATCTCTCTCTCCCTATATATATATGTCTATCTTCGTAATCTGCATGAGTTATATATATGTGCATATACATTTAAAGGAGTACTGCCTGGTTTTTTTTGGGTTTTATTAGAATTGATATTTAATTGTTTAATCATTAGGGTTATAATTGTTTTTGCACTATCAGATTCGATAAAAGGGTCTTTGTTGTAGATGGTACTGTGATTATTGGTAAAGTAGGCATAGTAGTGTATATTGTGGCGATAGTTTTTAAGCAGCGTTAGCTTTAGGGACATTTGGCATTATTGTTTGGTGGTGGTGGAGAGGGTAGATTCTATTGAGATAATAGTTTATGCATCTTTTATATCGTTGTAACTGTGATTTTTTGTGTTTATCAGTCTGGATGGTTTATATTTGATTAGGAAGCATGCCTTATTTAATCTTCAAATGTAATGGCATATTCTGTGAACAATTTTACATGTTGTTCATACTCAAAGGACTTGATAACTCTGAAGAGTTTGAAATTTATAGTTTTGGGACTTACTGCTGCTTGTGTTGGATGTACTGGTAATCTTAAATGTAAATTTTTATGGCTTCATCTTTTATTGTTTATGAGGAAATGGGACTCTGTTGAAAACCATTTGTTTCTAGCCTGAATTTGATGCTAGTTAATTTAGTTTGATATTGCTGAACATGTCCAAGGTGAGGAATGGTGCAATGGAAACACTTAAGCCCTTCTTTTCGTTTTGTTTAATTCTTCAAAACCTCACTCTTTATATTGGGTATAAACTAACTCCTATTTTAGGGGAATTTGTTCAACTTTTTCCCTGAAATGAGTCAAATGACCAATGTAAGTTTTGATTCTGACAAGAAATAACTAACATCTTTATGAATTATTAATCTATCTGAGAATTTAACTTTATTTATTTTTTTTATTTTCTTAATCATATTAGGATCAAATATGGCCAGACAAAAAATTGAGGAATAAATTAAACTAGTCTAATCTTCTAGTTGTATGTAATATTTCATCACTGTCTGAAACTAATTATGGTGCATCATGGCCTAGTTAATCCGGTGGCATCTCCTGGATATTCCCATTGGTAATTGCAGGGTTTTTGACTGCTAAAGTCCTTGGGTTCTATGCGGATGGCAACACAGTGTCTCAGCCTATGGGCTGCACTCACTGCAGTTGGGGAGAATTATCCAGGATAAAAAAGAGAAGGAAACATGATGTCTTGAATATATCAAATGTTGTGTTAGGTTTTTTGAAACCTGTTTAAATAGAGTATATGCGTAAATCAACATGAAACAAAATTTTGGAAAGATAAATTAGAGCATAATTTTCCTATAGTTCCTATAGTCACAACTCATTTATGATTTTATGTTCTCTTCTATTTTTTCATGTATGATATCCATTAATTTTTCGTTATGATGAGGAGAATATGCTAGCCACGCTTGCTGATATCTGCAAATTTGTCATTGCTGCCTGATGGATTTGCCTGTGTGGTGTCATTTAGTAATTGTGCAAGAGCACAGTGTTTTTAGTTGTACACTTGTACAATGTACAACCTTGCCACAGTTTCTGAAAATGCTTCCCACAGTGTCCCCAAAGCTCAGTGGATAAAATCTATTGGATGATATTAGAGATCTTAGTTTATGCCTTCCTAAGAGATTGGGCACTCCTTCAATCTATAAGCATTACCCAACTGGAAATGATGAAATAAGATTCTAAATGTCTCCTTGTGTGGAACAAGTAATGCACTACCCTCCCTACCCCAAACTAATGCCAACAATCACCCCCCTCTTATTTTGTGCATTAATTTTAACAGTGTATATTTACTTGCAGCCTCCTAAAATAAAAGCTTTCATCGACAAGGTGATTCAGAGTCCATTACAAGATATAGCAATACCTCTATCCGGATTTCGTTGGGAATTTGGCAAGGTGATAGCATCTTACTTCTGACATTTCTGTCAAGTTCTTTAATTCTTCACTCTTTCTTATTTGTTTCTTTGACCTCAGGGAAATTTTCATCACTGGAGGCCCCTGTTTCTGCATTTCGATACATATTTCAAGACATACTTGTCATGTAGGAGTGACCTCCTCTTGACAGATGATATTTCCTTGGAAGATGATAGTCCTTTTCCTAAGCAAGCAGTTCTACAGATTTTAAGAGTGATGCAAATAATTTTAGAGAATTGCCATAACAAGAGCTCATTTAATGGCTTAGAGGTGTGTTGGAGATGGTTTCTGAATCACATAATATCTGTTGTGTTAACGGGAGTTAAATGTGGAGCAAAAGTAGATTTTTATATTTTATTGCAATAATTTGTGAGCTTTCTTGTGCTATTTTACTTCTGAGGCATCAATATCTGTTTTCTGTCTGAAACTATATTTATTCTTGTTTATTTTCAGCATTTCAAGCTCCTACTTTCATCAACAGATCCTGAGATTCTTATAGCTACATTAGAGACACTTTCTGCATTAGTAAAGATAAATCCCTCCAAACTACATGCAAGTGGAAAGTTGGTTGGATGTGGTTCTATAAACAGTTGTCTCCTGTCTCTAGCACAAGGATGGGGAAGCAAGGAAGAGGGCTTGGGTTTGTATTCATGTGTAATGGCAAATGAAAGAACCCAGGAAGAAGGGCTGTCCTTGTTTCCATCTGATGTACACGAGGATTGTGACAAGTCCCAGTACCGGTTGGGGTCTACACTTTATTTTGAATTTCATGGTGCCAATTCACAAAGCAGTGGGGAAGATAGTGATGGTACTAACTCTTCTAGTGTGAGTGTTATTCACTTCCCGGATCTTCATTTACAGAAGGAAGACGATCTCTCACTTATGAAACAGTGCGTTGTGCGGTACAATGTTCCTCCAGAGCACAGGTTCTCTTTGCTGACAAGAATCAGATATGCTCGTGCATTCTGTTCTCCTAGAATATGCAGGCTGTACAGTAGGATTTGCCTTCTTGCGTTTACTGTGCTTGTTCAGTCTAATGATGCTCATGATGAACTTGTATCCTTCTTCGCTAATGAGCCAGAATATACAAATGAGTTGATTAGGATTGTGCGATCTGAAGAAACTATTCCTGGAAGCATTAGAACACTTGCAATGCATGCCTTGGGAGCTCAGTTAGCTTCATATTCTTCATCTCATGAGCGGGCACGGGTTTTAAGTGGATCAAGCATCAGTTTTGCAGGGGGGAACCGTATGATTCTCCTGAATGTTCTCCAAAAGGCAATTTTATCACTGAATAACTCCAATGATCCATCTTCTATTGCCTTTGTCGAAGCACTTCTGCAGTTTTATCTGCTACATGTTATATCTTCTTCAAGTTCTGGGAGTGTTATTAGAGGTTCAGGAATGGTTCCAACATTCTTGCCTCTTTTAGAGGATGCTGATCCTATGCATATTCATCTTGTCTGTTTGGCTGTGAAGACTCTACAGAAACTCATGGATTACAGTAATACAGCAGTGACCCTTTTTAAAGACTTGGGAGGAGTTGAGCTTTTAGCACATAGACTACAGATAGAAGTGCAAAGAGTTATTGATTTTTCTGGAGTAAATGATAATTCAATTACCATAGGTGAATGCTCAAGATACCATGATGATCAGTTGTACTTTCAGAAGAGGCTTATCCGGCTTTTATTGAAAGCTCTTGGGTCTGCTACTTATGCTCCAGGAAACGCTATGAGATCTGTGAGCTCGAATGATCTTTCCCTACCTGTCACACTCTCACGGATATTTGAAAATGTAGATAAATTTGGAGGTGACATTTATTCATCAGCTGTGACTGTTATGAGTGAAACTATTCATAAAGACCCTACTTGTTTTCCTGCCTTGCATGAATTGGGCCTTCCCGATGCTTTTTTAGCTTCAGTTGTGGCTGGAATAGTTCCCTCGTCAAAGGCTCTTACATGTGTTCCAAATGGCCTTGGTGCCATTTGTCTTAATGCCAAAGGCCTAGAGGCAGTAAAAGAAACTTCAGCTTTAAGGTTCCTTGTTGACATCTTCACCACAAAGAAGTATGTAGCAGCAATGAATGATGGTATCGTTCCTTTGGCAAATGCTGTGGAAGAGCTTTTGCGTCATGTATCTTCATTGAGAAGCACTGGTGTTGATCTAATCATTGAAATTGTTAATAGAATTGCTTCCATTGGAGACAGTAATTGTGCAGGGTCATCGGGAAAAGTCAATGGGAGTACTGCAATGGAAATGGATTCTGAAGATAAAGAAAACGAAGGTCCTTGTTGTCTGGTTAGTGCCGCAGATTCAACTTCAGAAGGCATCAATAATGAGCAGTTTATCCAATTATGTGTTTTTCATGTGATGGTTCTGGTTCACAGGACAATGGAAAATGCTGAAACATGTCGGTTATTTGTGGAGAAGTCGGGGATTGAAGCTTTACTGAAACTTCTGTTACGCCCAAGTATTGCACAGTCGCCCGAAGGGATGTCTGTTGCTTTACATAGCACCATGGTTTTTAAGGGTTTTACTCAACATCATTCTGCTCCTTTAGCACGGGCCTTTTGTTCCTCTCTTAGGGATCACCTGAAAAAAGCTTTGACTGGATTCAGTGTGGTTCCAGGATCCCTCTTACTGGACCCTAGGATGACTCCAGATGGTGGAATATTTTCTTCACTTTTTCTGGTTGAATTCCTTTTATTTCTTGCTGCCTCAAAAGACAATCGTTGGGTAACTGCGCTGCTTACCGAGTTTGGAAATGGTAGCAAGGATGTTTTGGAAGATATTGGACGTGTCCATCGTGAAGTTTTATGGCTGATTGCTGTACTTGAAGATGCTAAAGTTGAGATGGAGGATGATGGTGCTGGTTCTGCTGCTGCTGAGTCACAACAAACAGAATTGAATACAAATGAAACTGAGGAGCAAAGATTCAATTCATTTAGGCAGTTTCTTGATCCATTGCTGAGAAGAAGGATGTCGGGATGGAGTTTTGAGTCGCAGTTTTTCGACCTTATAAACCTATACCGTGATCTTAGTCGTGCTTCTGGTCTTCAACAAAGACAGGGCATTGATGGTCCTTCGGACATTCGTCTTGGAGCCAGTCACCAATCGCAACAGTCTGGTATCTCTGATGGTAATATTGCTAGTGGTAGAAAGGAAGATGACAAGCAAAGATCCTACTATTCTTCTTGCTGTGACATGGTGAAGTCACTTTCTTTTCATATTACCCATTTATTTCAGGAGTTGGGGAAAGTAATGCTGCTTCCATCTCGTCGCCGTGATGATACACTGACTGTATCCCCGTCTTCAAAATCAGTGGCTTCTATCTTTGCATCCATCTCACTAGACCATATGAATTTTGGAGGTCACGTGAGTCCTTCTGGATCTGAAGCATCTGTATCTACAAAGTGTCGCTATTTTGGTAAGGTTATTGATTTTATTGATGGCATTCTGCTGGACAGGCCAGATTCATGTAATGCTGTTCTGGTAAATTGCTTGTATGGGCGCGGGGTGGTTCAATCAGTTTTGACCACATTTGAGGCCACTAGTCAGTTGCTATTTGCAGTTAACAGGGCTCCTACTTCTCCTATGGAGACTGATGATGGGAATTTAAAGAAAGAAGAAAAAGAAGGAACTGATAATTTGTGGATCTATGGTCCTTTAGCAAGTTATGGTAAACTAATGGATCACCTGGTGACTTCTTCTTTTATTCTATCTCCTTTTACAAAACATTTGCTGACACAGCCTCTGATAAGTGGAGATATTCCGTTCCCACGTGATGCTGAGACTTTTGTGAAGGTCTTACAGTCCATGGTGCTGAAGGCAGTGCTTCCTGTGTGGACTCATTCGCAGTTCACTGATTGCAGCTATGATTTCATTGTAACAGTTGTTTCTATTATTCGTCACATTTATTCTGGTGTTGAAGTGAAAAATGTAAGCAGCACTGGACCTCGGGCAGCTGGTCCTCCCCCAAATGAATCAACGATTTCAACAATTGTAGAGATGGGATTTTCCAGGTCTCGAGCAGAGGAAGCCTTGAGGCAGGTTGGATCGAACAGTGTGGAGCTGGCAATGGAATGGTTGTTCTCACATCCAGAGGAAACCCAGGAGGATGATGAACTTGCACGTGCTCTTGCCATGTCCCTTGGGAACTCTGGACCAGACACGAAGGAAGAGGTTGTGAATGAAAACAATCAGTGTATCGAAGAAGAAACAGTTCAACTCCCTCCTGTGGATGACTTGTTATTGACGTGTACAAAGCTTTTGCAAATGAAGGAATCTCTGGCTTTTCCTGTTCGGGACCTTCTTGTAATGATATGCTCCCAAAATGATGGTCAATACAGGTCCAATGTTTTTTCCTTTCTCATAGAGCAGGTGAAGCTTTGTAGTTTGATTTTTGACAGTGGAAACAGTAACATGTTATCAGCCGTATTTCATGTTCTTGCTTTAATTTTTCATGATGATGCGGTGGCTCGTGAAGTTGCCTCTAAGAGTGGTCTGGTAAAGGTTGCTTCAGATTTACTTTCGCATTGGGCTTCCAGTTCATATGACAGGGAGAAAACCCAAGTTCCGAAATGGGTGACAGCAGCTTTTCTTGCCATTGATGGGCTGTTACAAGTGGATCAGAAGTTAAATGCTAATATTGCTGAGCTGTTGAAGAAGGATGTTGGTGGTAGCCAGCAGACATCTATAATTATTGACGAGGATAAGCAAAACAAGTTGCAGTCACCTTTGGGATCATCTCCAAAGAATGCAGATATACAGGAGCAGAAGATGCTTATTGAGATTGCTTGTGGTTGTATTAGGAAGCAGCTTCCTTCTGAAACAATGCATGCTGTTCTGCAGCTATGTTCAACTCTCACAAGAACCCACTCTGTTGCTGTTAGTTTTCTTGATGCTGGGGGTTTACCTTTGCTGCTTTCCTTGCCTACAAGTAGCCTTTTTCTTGGGTTTGACAATATTGCTGCTACTATAATCCGCCACATTCTTGAAGATCCCCATACTCTTCAGCAAGCTATGGAATCTGAGATAAGGCACAGTGTTGTGACTGCTGCTAACCGACAGTCCAATGGACGGCTTACACCACGCAATTTTCTTTTAAATTTAACTAACGTCATTTCACGGGATCCAGTGGTTTTTATGCAAGCTGCTCAGTCAGTGTGCCAAGTTGAGATGGTGAGTGATAGGCCATACATTGTCTTGCTGAAAGATCGTGACAAGGATAAATTCAAAGAGAAAGAGAAAGAAAAAACAGTGGACAAAGACAAATCCCAGACTACTGATGGGAAGGCAGCTTTGAGTCCTGGGAATGGGCATGGCAAACTTCTTGATGCAAATTCCAAGAATGTCAAAGCTCATCGAAAACCTCCTCAGAGTTTTATTAATGTGATTGAGCTTCTTTTAGATTCAGTTGTCACTTTCATACCTCCTTCGAGAGATGACACTGAGACAAGGGATACTTCATCTTTAACAGACATGGACATTGATGTTACTGGAAATAAGGGGAAGGGAAAAGCCATTGCCTCTGTATCTGAAGAGAATGAGACCAATAACCAGGAAGTTTCTGCATCTTTGGCAAAGATTGTATTCATCTTGAAGCTCTTGACAGAGATTCTCTTGATGTATGCTTCATCTCTTCATGTTCTGCTCCGTAGGGATGCTGAAATTAGCAGTTGCAGGAGTTCTCCATGGGGTCCTACTGGTGGAATTTTTTACCATATTCTCCACAAGTTTCTTCCACATTCTAAAAATTCCAAGAAGGAAAAGAAAACAGATACCGACTGGAGGCATAAACTAGCAAGTAGGGCTAGTCAATTTTTGGTGGCATCTTGTGTTCGCTCCACAGAGGCAAGGAGGAGAGTTTTCATGGAGATCAATAATGTTTTTAACAATTTTGTTGATTCTTCTAAAGGTTTTAGGCCACCAGGAAGTGATATCCAGGCTTTAGTTGATCTGCTTAATGATGTAGTGGCTGCTCGTTCACCTACAGGTTCATACATCTCGGCAGAGGCTTCTGCTACTTTTGTAGATGTTGGTCTGGTTAGATCATTGACTCGAACTCTCCAAGTGTTGGACCTTGATCATGCCGACTCACCCAAAGTTGTTACAGGCCTTGTCAAAGTTCTTGAGTCGGTGACAAAGGAACACATACATGCTGCTGATTCTGGTGCTGGGAAGTCTGACAATTCAACAAAACCTACAGATCACGGTCAGCCTGAAGGAACTGATAATATTGCTGATATATCCCAGTCCATGGAAACTGCTTCGCAACATAATCTGAATCCTATGGCAGCTGACCATATTGAGTCTTTTAATACTGTTCAGAATTATGGTGGATCTGAGGCCGTTACAGAAGATATGGAACATGACCAAGATCTTGATGGAGGGTTTGCCCCGGCATCTGAAGATGATTACATGCGTGAAACTTCCGAGGACACAAGGGGTCTTGAAAATGGCCTAGATACTGTGGAGATAAGATTCGAAATCCAACCCCGTGTGCAGGAGAACCTTGATGAAGATGATGATGAGGAGATGTCAGGGGACGATGGAGATGAAGTCGATGAAGACGAGGATGAGGATGATGAGGAACATAATGATTTGGAAGAAGATGAAGTCCATCACCTGCCTCATCATGACACAGATCAAGAGGACCATGAAATTGATGAAGATGAGTTTGATGAGGAGGTGATGGAGGAAGAGGATGAAGATGATGAAGATGAAGAGGATGGAGTTATACTTAGGCTGGGAGAGGGAATCAATGGGATTAATGTTTTCGACCACATTGAGGTATTTGGTAGAGATCATAGTTTCCCCAATGAAACTCTCCATGTGATGCCAGTCGAAGTTTTTGGCTCTAGACGCCAAGGGCGTACTACATCGATTTACAATCTTTTGGGTAGAACTGGTGATAGTTCTGCCCCCTCCCGGCATCCACTTCTGGTGGAACCTTCTTCCTCAAACACAGCTTCTATCAGACAGTCAGGCAAGTCTGGCTAGTGGATGGTTATTTCCCTTATATTTTGCTATTTGAAGTTTTCATCTTGTACTTTCTGATGATTTTACCTTTTAGTTTTATCTTACCATAATTTGTTCTTATGTGTAATTGTGTGAGTTCTTATTGCATCAGTTCTGATTTTTGATCATTTTTTCTTCAGAGAATGCCCATGATATCTATTCTGGTAGGAACTTGGAGAACACCTCGTCAAGATTGGATGCTATATTCCGATCACTGAGGAATGGCCGCCATGGACACCGGCTCAACTTGTGGGCAGACGATAACCATCCTAGTGGTGGTTCAAATGCATCTGCACTTCCCCAAGGGCTTGAAGATTTACTTGTTTCCCATTTGAGGCGGCCGATCACTGACAAGCCCTCTGATCAGAACACGACAACAGTGGACCCTCAAAGTAACAGTGAGACCGGTCAGCTTCACGAATCTGCTGGAATGGTGCCTGAAACCCCTGCTGAAAACAATACTAACAGTGAAAATAATTATGTGCCTCTGCCCTCTTCTGTAGTGATGGATGGATCAGGTAATGCTGATATAAGACCTGCGGAGAACGAATCTCTGCAGGGAATAGATGCTTCAAGTACACACTCTCAATCTGTTGAAATGCAGTTCGAACAAAACGACACGACTGTACGGGATGTTGAAGCAGTGAGCCAAGAGAGTGGTGGAAGTGGTGCAACTTTGGGGGAGAGCCTTCGAAGTCTGGATGTTGAAATTGGAAGTGCTGATGGGCATGATGAGGGTGGAGAAAGGCAAGGTGCTGCTGATGCTCGAACAAGAAGAACAAATGTGTCATTTGGGAATTCTATACCTGTGAGTGGGAGAGATGCACCCCTCCATAGTGTAACTGAAGTTCCGGAAAATCCTATCCAGGAAGCTGATCAGAGTGGTCCTGCAGAGGAGCAGCAAATTAATGGTGAAGCTGATTCTGGATCAATTGACCCTGCTTTCCTAGATGCGCTTCCTGAGGAGTTGCGTGCTGAAGTTCTTTCTGCTCGACAGGGTCAAGTGGCACAGCCTTCAAATGCTGAACCACAAAACAATGGAGATATTGATCCAGAATTTCTTGCGGCCCTACCCCCAGACATCCGAGAGGAAGTCCTAGCGCAACAACAGGCACAAAGGCTACATCAATCACAGGAACTGGAAGGACAACCAGTTGAAATGGACACAGTGTCAATAATTGCTACATTTCCTTCAGATTTACGAGAAGAGGTACATTTTTAATGGTTGTTTTAGTGTTGATATGTCTTATCGCTTCTACTTGACAATTATTGTATGCATTTATCTCAGGTTCTCTTAACATCCTCTGATGCAATTCTTGCCAATCTTACACCTGCACTTGTTGCGGAAGCAACCATGTTGCGTGAAAGGTTTGCAAATCGTTATAATCGAACACTCTTTGGTATGTATCCTAGAAGTCGTAGGGGTGAGTCTTCTAGACGAGGTGAAGGTATTGGAGCTGGTCTGGACAGAGCTGGTGGAGTCATTACTCGTAGGTCTATGGGAAGCAAGCCAGTTGAAGCTGATGGAGCTCCTCTGGTTGACACAGAAGCTTTGAAAGCCATGATTCGGCTGCTTCGTGTAGTTCAGGTATTCCATTGGTATGATTGATTCATTATTCTTATTGTTCCCTTTTGTGATTTATGTATTGATAGATATTATTTTGCAGCCCCTTTATAAAGGTATGCTGCAGAGGCTTCTCTTGCATTTATGTGCTCATAGTGAAACCAGATCTTCTCTGGTTAAAATCTTGATGGACTTGTTGATGCTCGACATAAGAAAGCCTGCCAATCATTTGAATGCTTCTGAGCCATCATATAGGCTTTATGCCTGCCAGAGTCACGTGATGTATTCTCGTCCTCAATTTTTTGACGGTAATACTTTTATTCTGATTTCTCATTATTTGTTGGGCAAGTCATATGTTCTTTTTAGTGGATTTAAAAGTGAAACCCATATATATATATATTGCCTCGGCAGTGTTGTACAAGTTCTATTTGCATTTTTCTTCTGGCACCAGAATAGGATGGTTTGGTTCCCTTTTCAGGTGATGATATGTATTGAACCCCAAGTTGTTTTGGACTTGTCACTGGGAAGATCATAAAATGCTTTTGATTTTAATTTGATTTAATATGTTAGCTGATGTAGTGTCCAAGGAATGGGCTTAGTCTAGGGCTGCAAATGAACCAAGCGGAGCCGAGCTTGATAATGTTTGGGTTTGGCTTGTTCATTCATGGGTCATTTGGATTGTTCATGAGTAGGCTTGGTTCGTTTCACGAGCTCGTGAAACATATTACCTTTTAAATTTTATTATATTTTCGTGAAACATGTTACTTTTTAAATTTTATTATATTTTCTTTGTGTTTTTATTAATAAAACAGGTAGGAAATCTGTCAAAGGAAAAAAAAAAAAGGAACTATTTCTCTAGCTATTTCACCATCAAATTCACTTCTAAAAACAATAAAACATATTCTTCAGTTAGTATTTCAAATATATGTATATTTGTGGAGGACCCGTTCACTTTTGGGTTTGGGTTTGGGTTTTATTCTCAAGGCAGCTCCTTGACTGTGTGTGTTCGGCAGTTAAAGCATATGCTGGTGTTATGAGTTCATTGCTCATGGAGGGGATTGTGGTCTCAAAACCAAATATGTTATAGGATAGGGGGCTGAATCCACCTTATATAAAATGACCACGGAAATTGATTGTTGGCAAGATATGTCCAGATTATGCAATGGATTTAATTTCAGAGGCCTTTTAAAGTTGGATTTCATTCTTTTCTAACTAAGCATAAATAAAGGATGATTTAGCAAGTTAATTTTCTTTAACCTATCTATTTCAAACCAACACCCCCCCCCCCCCCCCCCCCCCCCCCTTCTCTTTTTCCCTTTTCTTCTGAAGTTTGGAGAGAGAACTTTTGAGGAAATTATAAATTCTATTACTAACTTGTATCTGTCTTTTGCTTCATAGGAGTTCCTCCCTTGGTATCTCGACGTGTTCTTGAAACTCTGACCTTCCTAGCTAGAAATCATCCGTATGTGGCAAAGATTTTGCTTCAGTTTAGGCTGCCACAAGAGTTGGAAAATTCTGATCAGGAGCGTGGAAAAGCTGTGATGGTTATTGAAGAGGATGAAAAAGGAAGTAATCAGCGCCAAGAAGGATATTTATCCATCGCATTGCTTTTGAGCCTCTTGAATCAACCTCTTTATTTGAGGAGTATAGCCCATCTTGAACAGGTATGGTTTTGCACTTTTTTTTTTTTTTCATAGATGAACTTTCTTTCATACTTGTGGTTTCTTATAATATTTTTTCCATGTCGGATTCTTGTTCCAGCTGCTAAATTTATTAGAAGTCATCATTGACAATGCTGAAAGCAAATCTAGTTTACCTACTGAATCCGGCGCACCTACTACTGAACATTCTTCTGGTCCCCAGCTTTCCACATCAGATGCTGAGATAAATACGGGCTCCAGTGTTATATCCTCTGGCTCTGATGTTACATCTTCTAAGGCTGATGACTCTGCCAAACCCTCTTCTTCTGGTGCAAATGTTGAATTTGATACCCAAGCTGTACTTCTTAATCTACCACAAGCAGAACTTCGGCTTCTATGTTCACTGCTTGCACGAGAAGGGTATGATGTTCTCTATAGCCAACCCACCTATACATTTTGTCTATTGTCTTGTATCTTTTATGTTAAATTTTTATTGCACGGTATCTTTTCCTAGTGGCATTTGAAATTTTTTTCGTGTTGTGATTACATGTATAGGTCTGTTTCTTGTGTTGTTACTTCTTTTTGTTTGCATAATTATTCTACTGTTATTTTGTTACGTACCCCATTTATTTAACTGCAAGATTGAATTGGTTCTGTTAGTCGATTGTGCTTTATACTGTGTTCCTGAGCTGTCAAATAATGTAGATGAAGATTCTGACATCCTATACGCTATGTTGGTTTGCTGAACAAGATGATTGGCAATGATGTTTTTTCCCTATAAAATTGATGTTACAGGCATTATGTTCAATTATAAAATAGTAAGAATTATCTATTTTGCATATTATGCTGTCTGTATCATTAACTGAGAATTTTTGTACTTATATATATGTGTGTGTTTGTGTGTGTGTGTTACATGTATTTTTGGGGTTGGGGTGGGGGTTGCTTGGTTGAGGATGGGGATTCAATGCTCTTGAGTTGTGTTTTTATTTTATTTATTTTTATTTTTATTATTTTTATTTATATGTTCCCTGCACATTTTGTTCAACTTTCCTGTGTACTGTAACCATATTCTTTTAATTTAATACCTTGTTTTCATTTCCCCACATTTCTGGTCTTCTTGCTTGGCTTCTGCCAAGTCTTACCAAAATAGAAAATGAAATCAGCTGCTCAGTATGTTGTTGAATTTCCTGATTATTGGGTTTAAATTTTCACTCTTTTTTTGAGGTGAATGCAGTCAATGGATTTATGTTGTATGCTACCTTACAGTTAGTTCTCTTGAATGCATCTTTACCATAAGTCTTGATAACAAATTAGATTCCATAATTGAATTCGTCACATATGAAATATTGATTTATAACTGTGAAAATAAGTACAACCTTGACCTCAAGCTAGTGGCAGGGGATACATAGAGGCTTTAAAGTGCCTAAACGGATATTCATAATATATTCCTTATTTCGTGGTATAGGCTTTATCTAAATATTTTGCTTTCTCTGGAATAGTTTTTTGGTTCACCGGTGCAACTAGGTCAAGTACCATGGGACCTAAAATGTTATTGCAATCTACTTTCTTGGATTGTTTTTTGGTTTCTACTTGTTAGGAGCCAACTTGATTATACTTCTTTTCCCTCGTGGTTGTACCTAACAATTGTATTGCATTATTTTCTTTCACACCTTATTCTTGCTCTTATCATCCCAAACCACCGTGTTTAAATGTTAAGTCCTGCTCCCCCTTCTAAGTCGATGCCAGTAACTTTACTGAAAAGTGTAAAAATTGGGCACAAAATATTTTGGTTGGAGACTAACTGCTGTTTCTGTTCCTTGCATACTTTTGGTCAGACTTAAGCTTCTCGTCATTTGGAATTTAATATTTTTCTGAGCTATATATTCTTACTGTTATCTTGTGATATTGCTTCATTGTCTTTATTTTTCCTCTTTTTCGGGGCCATTTTTTTTAATAAAGAAAGTAGATTTTATACATATAAATGATTGCCCATCTGAAATTAGATTTTTACCTATATAATGGCAATATATTGCCGTGCTTCATTAGACTAATGTGTCCGTGCTTCATTAGACTAATGTGTGTCCTTCTCACACTTGCTGTTCAGGCTACATAAATTCCTTGCCAGGATATATGAGCTATTAATGGTTGATTGACTTGATTCCACGTGTATTTGGTAGTGCTATTTTTGAGTTTTAATTATTCAACACTGTTATTCTTTGTTTGACATATCTCATTTTCTTGCAGTCTGTCAGATAATGCATATGCTCTTGTTGCGGAGGTATTGAAGAAGTTGGTGGCTATTGCTCCCACACATTGTCATCTGTTTATCACTGAGCTAGCAGATTCTGTGAATAATTTGACTAAATCTGCGATGAATGAGTTGCACATATTTGGAGAAGTAGAGAAAGCTCTTCTCACTACTACATCATCTGATGGAGCGGCAATTTTGAGGGTTTTGCAGGCATTGAGCTCTCTTGTTGCTTCACTTAACGAGAAGGAGAAGGATCATCAAAATCTTTCTGAAAAGGAGCATGCAGCTGCTCTTTCTCTGGTGTGCGACATCAATGCAGCTATAGAGCCTTTGTGGCTTGAGCTGAGCTCTTGTATAAGCAAAATAGAGAGCTATTCAGATACCACGCCTGATTTGTCAAATAAATCTTTAGTTTCCACGTATAAACCATCTGGCGTAATGCCTCCACTTCCAGCTGGTACTCAAAACATCTTGCCATACATAGAATCCTTCTTTGTCATGTGTGAAAAGTTGCACCCTGGGCAATCAGATTCTGGTCACGACTTTGGTATTGCTGCAGTATCTGATCTTGAAGAGGCCAGTGCTAGCCAGCAGAGAACATCAGCACCAGTTCCAAAAGTTGATGAAAAACATATAGCTTTTGTGAAATTTTCAGATAAGCATAGGAAGCTCCTAAATGCTTTCATCCGGCAAAACCCTGGGTTGCTTGAGAAGTCCTTTTCTCTCATGCTTAAGGTTCCCCGCTTTATTGATTTTGACAATAAACGTGCTCACTTTAGATCTAAGATAAAGCACCAACATGATCATCATCACAGTCCTTTAAGAATCTCTGTTAGAAGAAATTACATTCTTGAAGATTCATATAATCAACTGCGAATGAGATCAGCACAAGATTTGAAGGGGAGGCTAACTGTTCATTTTCAAGGGGAGGAAGGTATTGATGCTGGTGGGCTTACTAGGGAATGGTATCAGAGTTTGTCCAAGGTTATTTTCGACAAGGGAGCACTACTGTTTACAACAGTGGGCAATGAGTCAACATTTCAGCCAAATCCCAACTCTGCTTACCAAACAGAACATCTCTCTTACTTTAAGTTCATTGGGCGAGTCGTGAGTACCTTTCCATTTGTTCTTATTTGATTGAGTTAATAATTGTATGCTTCTTGCTTAGTCTTCTTCGTGTGTTCCAGGTAGGGAAAGCACTTTTTGACGGACAACTTCTTGATGTTCATTTCACTCGGTCTTTCTACAAGCATATCCTTGGGGTTAAAGTGACTTACCTTGATATTGAAGCTATTGATCCTGATTACTTCAAAAACCTGAAGTGGATGCTCGAGGTGTGTTGCATGGGAAAGTTTACTCTCTCTTCCCCACCCCCCTTTTCTGTGTCTCCCTCCTTCCCTCCCTCCCTCCCTCCCTCCCTCCCTCCCTCCCTGTGTGCATGCTTGTGTCTCACATCTGATGCTTCCATTACTAACTTAGCTACGGACCACAAAACTTTAATACTTGGTTCCTTGCTTACTTTTGCAGAACGACATCAGTGATATTCTAGACCTTACTTTTAGTATGGATGCTGATGAAGAGAAGCTGATATTGTATGAAAGGACAGAGGTAATGATTTCCCTCCATTATAAGTCCATGATTAATTCCACAACTTCTATTTGTCTTTCTCTCTCTCTCTCTCTCTCTCTCTCTCTCTCTCTCTCTCTCTCTCTTTACATGATATACATAATGCAGGTGACTGATTATGAACTTATCCCTGGTGGACGTAATATTCGAGTTACCGAGGAAAACAAGCACAAATATGTTGATCTAGTTGCTGAGCATCGGTTAACTACTGCTATTCGTCCTCAAATAAATTCATTTTTGGATGGATTCACTGAATTGATATCTCGGGATTTGATATCTATTTTTAATGATAAGGAACTAGAGTTATTAATAAGTGGCCTTCCAGACATTGATTGTAAGTTCCTTCACTTGTCTTATTTTCTGAAAGCCCATGAAAATTGGTTGTGTTATAACAAGAGTGTATATTAATGCCTTTCAGTGGATGACATGAGGGCGAATACAGAGTATTCTGGGTATAGTGCTGCATCTCCTGTTATCCAGTGGTTTTGGGAGGTTGTTCAAGGGTTCAGCAAGGAAGATAAGGCTCGTCTTTTGCAGTTTGTCACCGGCACTTCCAAGGTATCTTTCCTTGGCATTTTTTTTTATTCAAACTCTGCCTGTTTGCATTCATTTGGAATTTTATTTCCTCTGAACTTCAACCAACAATTAGAAACTACCGTCGAACCTATGGAATTATGAAAATTATGAAAAATCAATTCATGACAAAAAATTGCGAATGGGCGTTGGGCAGGCCCCCGTCCTTTACCCAACTGTTAACATTTCAAACATGGACACGTGACTATGAATATACAATTAGTCAACCTTTTTAGATGCATCTTCAGGCATCATAGCTTTATGTGTGACATAGATTTATTTATGAATATACAATTAGTTTACCTTTTAGATGTGTGTTCAGACATTATAGCTTTATGTATGATGTAGGTTACCTATTTACTAACTTCAAATAGGGAATTGAATGTCTTTTGGTAGTCGGTCTTGGAATGCTCATAATAGGTGGGGCCTTGGTATGAACTGATGCTCCTCATCGATATAGTTATTGGCCATTGTTGCACAAGGCCAAATCATCTTAATTGATTCTTTTATTTTATCTCCAATTAGTTCTACTTGAGTCATCTCACCCGTTCATTTATTTTAGTTTTTTATTTTAAGATGTAAGTTTATATAATTTGTATGTAAATATGCACATGTTTTGATTCTCATGTTCAAATTACCTACCTTTGTTAGAATTTTTTGACCTTTTATTTTTTATAAGCAGAGACTGCACCACATTTATATTTATTTAGAATAGTCAGCCCTCCTAGGGAATTACTCTATTGTCCCGAGGTCCAAGCCAATTAGTCTTTTTGGTGTAGATTCTTTATTGCTTTCGAATTAAAATCATATGCTGGTAAAAATACATTTTGATGTTGAAGATATATATATTCCATGGCATGTGTTTGTTTGTAGTATTTGTTATAAAATAAATATTTTGGTAGACATTGAGAGTGTTTGGGTTTGACAATGAGCTGTTAATCTGAGCAAATATTCGGAAAATGTTGTTGCAGGTGCCACTAGAAGGATTCAGCGCGCTTCAAGGAATATCAGGCTCACAGAAGTTCCAGATTCACAAGGCCTATGGTAGCGCTGATCACTTGCCTTCAGCTCATACTTGGTAACCTTCTATTCTAATTATCACTTACTGAATATCTATCTTCATCGAGCGAGCGAGCGAGCCAGCGTATCCTTGAAAATAGTTAGCTCACACCTTAGAAGGGATTGATTGATTATCTAATTGTTGGATCATGTATCTTGTTTGTTGTTGGATGCAGTTTCAACCAGTTAGACCTACCAGAGTATCCTTCCAAACAACATCTGGAGGAGAGACTGCTTCTTGCTATTCACGAAGCCAACGAAGGGTTCGGTTTCGGTTGAGAAATTGGAATGGGGGATGGGGTGGACATGATGAGAATTAAAATCATGTGTATAATAATATTATGTCAAAAAAATATGTCTTGAAAGGAAGTTGCAAAGTAAAGGGTGGCATTCCAAGAATCAAGTTTATTAGATGTTAATATACTGTACAGTAGTATGGCAAATGCTTCTGGCACCAGTTTTTGTTTCGCCAATGTGATCCATCTCTCTCTCATTTGCTTCCTTTTTTCTTTGTTCCTTCCCTCCCTTTAACTGTTGATACCACTATGCTCATATAATCTCACAGTTCTCCTTTTTTTGGGCAAGTAAAGTTATTGAAATTTTTATTTGAATGCTTTCAATTTTGAGCTTCAATGATGCTGCATTTGGACAACTTCGTAGAGAGAGAGAGAGAGAGAGGAAAAGGGCAAACAATTATAGATTTTGTAATGGCTGTACCTGTTGTGTTTTATGTTACAAAATTATCATGGTATTCTTGTATTTTTTCAAGTACGAATTTTGGACAGGAATGGGACAAATGTACCCGTATCCCGTTCCATCTAAAAATGAGAATGGTGTACCCGTCCCATTTCATCCCGTTTTATGTTACAAAATTATGATGGTATTCTCGTATTTTACAAAGTACGAATTTTGGACAGGAATGGGACAAATGTACCCCTATCCCGTTCCATCTAAAAATAAGAATGATGTACCCGTCCCATTCCATCCGTTTATGTTACAAAATTATCATCGTATTCTTGTATTTTAAAAAAATATAAATCAATTGAGTTTCCTATCACATAGAGTAATTGAGTTTTTATTTTTTTATTATCTTATATTGATTTTCATATTGCTTTTTCATGCTGAATTTTCTTTCAATAATATAGTAATAGAATACTGGGACATGGATGGGGGATATTGAGAGTTAGAATACCTCGACCCTGGAGAGTTAGAATACTCCTGGTGTTCCAAAACCCCATTCTTAAATTTGGAGAGTGAAATATCTAAAATGCCCTTAGACAAAAAATAATAAAATATTTAATTTTTTTTAAAAGTAAATAATAAAAATAAACAAAAAAGTCAAATTAATAAATAAATAATTAGATTCATTTATTATTATTATTATTATTATTATTATTATTATTTATTAAAAAAAGAAATACCGAAAATTCCCTTTAAACAATTGGTCAAAATTGTTGACCAGGGGACAATTTGCTACAAAATTTCAAAATATATGCACTTTTTTGAAAAGGATAATGTTTCTTGCGCATTTTTTATATAGCATGGGTTATTTTTGCACTTTATCTTTAAAATAAAGCATTTACACCATTTGCTATCAACAGTAAGAATCCATTCTTTAAATTAGATGTCATATTCATACTATCCCTTAATGACTTTGACAAGTTATTAAAGCAATAAAATATATTTTTTTTATTTTTATTTTTCAGTATTTGAAGGTGGTTTAGATTAAAAAATTAAGTTTATCAAGTTAAACGTATATAATAAAACTGTAGAAAATTGACACGTAAGTTATTCAACCACAAAAGTTATTCAACTACAAACCTTTGTTTTGGTTGCAGGACGCATGGATTGTTGGAGCAACGGCAGGCAAAAGTGTAGACATCAATTCTTGCCAAAGAATGAGAGATTGGAGGAATCAAATAGGCTATTATCATTCACGGAAGGCATAGAAAGTCAAAACCATTTGTTTCCATCTTTTGTAGTATGACATTGGCATGAACAGCCTCAATCACTTTTCTAATGTCTTTTTTAGTAATTTGCTACATTTCAATCATCCCAACCATCTAACATGGGTGCGAAATCATAAGGCAAAAACTCCGAATTAAATATTATATTTTGAACGGATTGTACTGTAATAACTTGTAAATAAATGACGAGTAATATACCTTCCAATCACTAAAACACTAGGTGATTTGAACGTCAAACATTAAAATATCATAATGTGTAAATTCAAGTAATTGTCTTTCTTTTTATTATTTTTTTCTCTTCATTGTATGGATATTGATGATAAATTCATGAACTTGAATTTCTTAAAGCCAAAATTCATTGATGTACACCATAATCAGCATATGGGCAAGTACAATTGTTACTGTCAAACAAAAATAAAAGTTAATGAATTACTTTTACCTCACGTGTGGGAGCACGGAATCGGCACCTTGAATTTGGTTAGAATTGGAGGAAGTTTAATTCAAAAATTAAAATTCCTCCGATACCAAATCCAAAGCTCCAATTCCTGCTCCCCAACATAGCATTTGGAATTCCTGTGTACAAAAAAAATCAGAATTGCAACCAGAATAAATCTAGAACCATCAGACAACAACAAATTCTTTGTAATGATGTACACTAAATCAAGAAGCAAGTTAATGTAACAATTAGGACCCATAAAATCAGAGCCTTTACAAGTGATAACTTCCATATGTACAACCTAAAACCCCTTGTAATTCAAAATGGAAACATAAGCTAAGCCAACAACTGCACAACTTCGCATCGCCTTAACCTCTCTGGACCGCAACCATGGATTCAATCCCCAAATTTTCTGCCTTCCTGCTTCATCTCAACAACAATAGTTGCCAGTTCTATTTCTTCGCAAAATGTTAGCTTTTGATAAAATTTTGATTTCCTAACAGTGTTTCATCAATTTAACCTCTAGGGTACCTTGTTCCTCGAGCATCATCCATGATAATATCGTGAAGTCTAGTAGGAAAATCGGTTGGCCATAGAACAACATCACTTCCCGAAAGATCCATCTTTGAAAGGTGATCAGCAGCTCGGTTAGTTTCACGCCACGAGTGAGAGACTCGGTACTTCTCAAACTTCTTTAGAAGTTCCCAAATATGGTTCAAACAACTACTAGCCTTTGGACTATATGGTTGCTCTCTGTTGATGGATTTCACCGCACTCCTTGAATCAGACTCCACCCATATAACTTTAATCCCCAGACTCGAGGCAAGAACAAGGCCTCTCCATATCGCCCATAGTTCAACCAGGAAAATATCATTTAGTGTAGGAGCTTTAGAGACATACGCACATATAGGGTCACCTTTGTAATCACGAAGCAAACCACCAAAACCAACGTTTTCTCGACCTATTGATCCATCGGCATTTAATTTTGTCCATCCGAACTTTGGCTTTTTCCATGTGCACCGTATAATTGATCTTGCAACTGGGCTTAAGAGGCTGCTGCCCCATTTTTCAAAGTTCGTCATTAAAGAAGACTTGACTGGATTGTTCGTTACCAGTTCATTTCTTAGTTCCTCTTCCATGGCCTTGTGCTTCTTCCCTTGAAGGTGTGTATTTAAACATATCTGACTGGTGGTGGTAACCTGGCAGACAGCACAACTCCACTCCTTCTGAACTTTCTTCGGACTGGCCAGATTAATCAAATGACTTTCCACATGGTCATGGGATATGTTATATTCACCCTGACAGACATACATATGATTAAGATTCTAATCAAACACTAATTATGATTTAAAACAATATGGTTGCATTGACCATAGTTGCAATAATCCCTAAGGCCTCCAAAGTTGTTTATTTTATTTCAGAAGTAAACAAGCTACTTAAAAATTGTAATGGAAAATGAAACCTTAACAAATAACAAGTGGCAACGTAATTGGCCTTTTCTCTTTATTTAATGGGCTGAAGGACTGGTCCGCCCTTACGAGTTAGTGGTCTCCGATGGAGGAAAGCAGAGGATGGAGAAGGGCCAATGGATTCAGCTCAAAAATGGAATGCCAATGGGGTAAAATTCGTAGGAGGCCTTATAGGCGACCAGGTGATGACACAGTTGGCTACCAAGTAAGCAGGATGAATACTTTGTCGGAAACCGCGGGGGCATATGTGCTGGGTTGTGACAGAAAAGGTCAGGAGAACCAAATGTCAGCTTGCAGATTTACCTTGCAAAAGATTCATTTCTCTGATTTTTCCAATCCATCCTCGACATATATCTCTCCAAGAGAGCCATGATGCTCACAGAATAATTAAAACCATTCGTTGTGGTAATGGTCGATTTGTCACACTTAGAAGTTCCCAGAGATGTAAGGCCTGATGAAGTGCATGTTGGAAAAAATAATTATAATAAATCACGAAAATTACTTGCACTTAAAAATATGGGTGGAAATAAAAAACCACCAATGGGCGAGTGGCCCGGCGGTACCAAACCCGTACTTCCCAAAGGGAGGTCAAGAGTTCAAGCCTACCATAGCTTGGAGCTATGTTACACGGCCTCCTCAAAAGTAGTAAAGTACCCATGTTGGACACACATTGCTCGGACATGGATATGGGATATGTGTTCGACACTTATGGTTAGACATGTACAAAAAAAATATATTCTATAATTCAATTTAATTATATTATTATTTCAAAATGAGTGAAATGTCTATATTAAACATTATATATTAACTAAAAACATTATTTTACTCTAAAAAATAAAATAAAAATATTAAATAAACAAATATTTAGTAATGTCCATGTGTTCTTTTGTTGGGGATTTAACACGTCCGATGCATAGATACATACTTGTACCCGACACAAATACCCGAGTCCATGTAACACAGGCTTGGACGCGCATAATGGCTTCCTGAAGATAGTCGAAGCCTCCCACAAGGTGCAAGGGATCATGGCAGCTCTATCTTCGGGATTCAATCAAGCCTAGGCAATTCGACCACAGTGTATTTGCACTATACGCTATTGGGTGCAAGACTTAATCTCTTTTCAAAATGCCCAAGTATGAAAATTAGAAGAGAAAACTTCTAAACTGTAACTTAACAAAACTTGAGTACGAGTTGGGATTGAACTTAACCATGCATTAGTGACGGATGTGGGGTCCTTACATAGACCTCTCAAGATGAGTCTCATAAATGTGCTCAAACCTTAAAATACATGAATTAAAAAAATTCAAATTTCTGGACAATATATCAAACTAATCAAAATGTGTCTCATAAATTTGATGAAGAACTTAAAATGATTCATCCTAGAATTAGGTGAACCAAATGGATTCATTGAGAATACCGAAGGTCAAGTGTGAATGAATGTAAAAATATCTCCTTTATTGATACATGAACCATTTAATTACATGCACATACATGTGAACACATTTAAAACTTTATTGTTCAAGAGGGTATGAATCAAAATAATTAGACTTCAATTACATACATATATATTTTCAAAAAGAATATAAAAATATTTAGAAACATATTGGCAATTCAGGAAAGTTATGTGCATAAATAAAGCTACTTAAAAATGGTAATGGACAATGAAACCTTAACAAATAACAATGCAAGCTCTCAAGTGGCAACCTAATTGGCTTTTTCACTTTATTTAATGGACTGAAGGACTGGTCCGCCTTATGAGGTAGTGGGGTCCAATGGAGGAAACCAAAAGCGGAGGAAGGGCCAAGGAACAAACTTGGATTCAGCTAAAAAATGGAATGTCAATGGTGTAAAATTCGTAGGAGGCCTTATAAGTTGCTCAAGTGGTGACACAACTGGAAACCCAGTAGCAGGATGAATACTTTGTTGGGGAATCCCGGGGGCATATGCATTGGGTTTAGTGATAGAAAAAGTCAGGAGAACCAAATTTCAGCTTACAGATTTACCTTGCAAAAGACGTCTTCCTCTGATATATCCAATCCATCCTCGATGTGTATCTCTCCAAGGGAGTCATTATGCTCACTGAATATACAACCATTCGTTGTAGTAATGGTCGGTATGTCACACCCTTGTGAGTTCGCTGAGATGTAGGGCCTGATGAAGTGCATATAGACATAAAAAGCACCACCAAAGTGAGGAACCACCAGCAAGAGGGTGACTATTCCCTTTAAATGAGGCCAAAACGGTAGCCTGAAAACAAAGAAATTTAAGCAGTGAGACTCAATGAATTCCTAGCTAAAGCATAAACCAAAATGGCCCACTAGGATATTAAGCAATAAAACACGAAGCACATGACCAAGATTTCCAATATACAAGATGAAAGAATGGGACAGTTGACGTGTCTTGACGTGTTACAATAAAGGACTCTTTTTGATGTCTAAGTAAGCATTCCTTTGTCTTTCACAACCCACAGATGGAGCCATCAAGAACAATGAGTATAACTACCATCACTAGCAAAGGATCAAATTTAGAGTTCCATTAGATGGCAATGTATCAAGTTTCTTCCTAAGCACTTCCTCTGCTAGCTGTTGTTTCATTTAGTGGCTCATTACTTCATATGATTTCTTGAGTGAAAACTATTATCTAAACCACCAATGGAGCAAGTCATTTTCAGTGGGACATACAAACATGGCACCGAATGCTATTACTTAAAGATTAATGTTTCAACTGTTCAATAAAGCCACTCATAAGTATTCAATTTAAATTGATACATTCCTTCATTCACACAAAAATAAGTCGACATGAAGAAAACACTTTCCTGTAATTATCATGTTATGATGACCTTTTTAACCCCTACAAATGGCTGTTTGTAAGCTGGCAATGTTGTTGATGTGTACTTAATTTTTTTGCTTCTATATAACAAAGTCACTTTGCTTATAAAAAAAAAATTATCATGTCAAACATCTCTTTGAGGTTAAACATGATGTCCTTAGCAATAAGAAAATACAGATGTTGGCTCTGAAGCACATTTGACAATATGTAGCAGTGAGCCATCTCATCTGCCTTTGTCCACTTCTTATAGGCATCCACGAGAGCAGTCATTTTTGCGCAATTATTGACAAAGATTATGTCTTTGTCTAGCCTAATACTAGTATTTGTCATATTGCACTCGATTAACGGGGCTAACTTGGGCAATCACTCTTTGTTATCCCTGATTTGTGCCCCTACTCTGTGCGTGCCAAGTGTCCAGCCCATTCAGCCCCTTAGCTCGTTAATTCAGTAACTAAACAAAAATAATCAACCCCTAGTGCCTTTAGGGGGTAGCCAACAAACAAGCATGCCTCTATTCTTGCTTTGAAACCCCACTTCCATAAGAATAGGTGTCAAGTGTCACAATACTAGTCATGTCTCTATATAACTTGTTTCTATATAACTCGGAAGGGTGTCATATATTAACTAGCCAGCGATAGCCCATCATTTATATCATCTAAGCACTTTCCTTTGCTAAATATAAATAACCACCAAATTTCTTTGGCCTCACTAAAATAATAATATGAAATCTAAAAATTACCACACGAGAAGTTTGGCAAGCATTGACTCCATGATTTTGGTTATAGAAAACAAAACCCAATAAGTGAGACATTGCTGATAATTGAAGGGTTTATCACCCTCTACCGCCCGAATCGAAGCATACCTGTTTCGAAAAATTAACATGAATCAGAAACCTAAATCAAAAAACAAAAATATTGGGTTTAAAAACAAAATTGAAGAATCTTATCTATTAAAAAAGCACATTAAAAAAAAAAAAAAAACCACAAACACACACACAAACACAATTAAAGGGCACCCATATGCATATTGAAGTATTGTAAGAGAAACAGGAATAAATGAGAGGGTTAGATGGCAACTTAATTACAGGGACACAATAAAATAAATGATTAAATGAGAGGGTTAAAGAAGGCTACTTACAGGGGACACACCAAAGTAATTGAAGGCCTGTAAAATCATATACCCAAAAGAAAAAGGAAACAAAAAAAGGGAATGACACAGGTCAGTGAATTTCTAATCATTTCGAGCCCTGATTGGGTTTTAAACAAAATTTAAACTTTTCCACCGATCAAACATAAGATGAAAAATTAAGGGTTGTGCACCAGATTGACTAAAACAAAAATTTGAAACATTTAATGGCATAGAAAATGAGTAAAAATATAATTGGAAACATACCAAGCAAGAACATTGAAGAACTTGGTTACTATCTTGAGAAAACTGCCCCAACCCATCCCATCCATTTCTGTTTTTTCTCTTTTTACCTATAATTTTATAATCTTTGAAAAATGCTCAAACAGTCAACACCCATCTCAGTATTCAGTTATTCTCACATATTATATAGAGAGAGGGAGAGAGACGCATACATTGATTTGTAGCTCTTGGGGAAACGGAGGAAAGGACAGTGACAAGGAAAAGGAGAAGACTCGGGAGGAGACTTGAGTCGGCAGACCGACAAAGTTAGAATTTTAAAATAATTCACTTTTTTTTTTTTTTGGTCAATAAAATAAAAAATTAATTTCACACGTTTTATGTCATTAGGAACTCAAACTCTCAATGAATAGTGTAACGTGAAAAAAAAAATTTCCTCAATTATGTTGGAATTTACAAATAATCTTTTTGAAGTATGATTCATGCATAATGCCTCCTTTTTTTTAACATCTAGACTATTTTAATTATATGACCATAATTCTCTTTACGATTGAATTGCACTTAATCTATTTTTTTTATTGAAATAAATTATAAAAAAAAAATCATACTAATTTGATAATATATTTTAAATTAAATTTGCATAAATTTATCTTTAATTTTTAAAATTAATTGTTTAAATAAAAATCTTAAGTAGAAAATTTTAAAACAATTTAAGTAATTTCTTAATTTTTCATTAATATATTGCATGAAAAGAATGCATTTTTTATTTAAGTAATTTATTAATTTTTCATGAATATATTGTATGAAAAAGAAAGTATTTTTTTAGGGTAAAAAAGTTTAAATTAAGTATAATAAGTTTTATTATAAATAGTAAAGTTGTAATAATAGTTAAGATACTTACAAATATATTTGCTTATTTTTTTAAATTTTTATGATAAATTGATACTTAAAATAAAATTAAAGTAAATAGTATAATTAATATTTAGACTAATAAGCTCTTGGTGTGGTACTATTCATCTTTTTCTTTCCTTTTCTTTTTTTTTTTTTTTTTTTTTATTGTTTCTGTATTTCTCTTTACAACCCAACAAATAAAGATCTATCTAATATATCCCTATTCTATTCTTTTTCCCTTGTTTTGGTTTCCCTTCTCTGTCATCTAATCTGTTTTCTTTCCTAGAAAGAAAGGGAGATTCTTGTACTTGTTTGGATAAGAAATAAGGAGGGAAATGAGTCGGCAGAAAAGGTAATTAACACAAAAACACTCCCCTTTCCTTCCAAAAGCAAAAGAAAGTAGAGGAAAAAGTTAAGTGGTTTGTAACACATTTGTCTTTTAAGTTAATTAGAATATTGCCCATTTTATTCATGTTGCAAAATAAGGGGGTGTAATATTTGGTACTTTGTATTCTTGCGTTCCCTTTATTTTTCAATAGAATAAATATTCATAAAGCATAAAATTTACATTTTTCTATCATTGTCAAGCTTGAGAGTGCTTTTAATTAACAATTATACTAAAAAAAAAAAAAAACAATGAAATGCAAGAGTAAAAAAGTAAAGTGCATATACTATCATTTTTCTAAAATAATTATTCATATATATTTTTTAACAAGAGGATGAGTTGGAACTATTATGCCCTTTTCTTTTTCCTCCATGGTTATACAAACAAGAGAAAAATTATCACCATATATCTATTAGCTTTATTTTCTCTAAAAGTTAAAAACTTCGTATTATTCTTTGTTTCCCTTTCCCTCCTACTAACCCAACCTAGCCCTAAGAAATTCATATAATTTTTAGATCTTCTATAGAAATTTATTATCATGGATAACATTTTTTTTTCAAAATTTTAAATAAAAAAATAGTTGTAATTAATGTAGAACTTGGTTTAAATTGTCCTTTAAATTTGGATGACACGTTTACAATTTACATGACATTTTAATGTAGTAATAGCACATTTTGAATAGAATGGGAAATTAAATTATGACTTTCCACATCACCTGAGAGCTATGAAGCACCGACACATGTGTATGACCTAATGCACACGCGTGTCCGACGCCTTCAATCTGTATCACAAATTTTTATTATTAAAAATTGCAATCAACATGGCTGTGGACACGTCAGGATACGGCTGAAGACACGACGGTTTGTTGATCAGAACCTTTATATATATATATATATATATATATATATATATATATATATATATAATACACACAAGAAAATGAATATGAAGAGAGAATTATGGGAAGAGAGAAAAGTGTCATATACAAATATTATCATTTTTAATGGTTGTCTTGTTACAAGAATTGCTTTGGATTACTTCGGAATAAAAAGACATTCTTGTTCATTTGGGCTTGTACATCTTTATTTTATTTTTAATAAAAATACGAGATGTTCCATGAGACTTAAATATCATTTTTAATAATATAGATAAAATAAATTGAACAAAATTTAATTTAATTTATATAAAAATAAATTATATTATTATTTTATTGCCGTATTTTTGTCGTGTCCGTGTCTTATTTTTTGAGACTTGCCGCATTGCCGTATTCGTATCGTGTCGTACTTGTGTCTCGTGTCTTTGCTTCATAGCCATATATCCATTAACTTTATTTGCTCTAAAAGTTAATAACTTAGTATTATTCTTTGTTTTCCTTTCCCTCCTACTAACCCAACCTAACCCTAAGAAATTCATATAATATTTAGATCATCTATAGAAATTTATTATCATGGATACTATATTTTTTCAAAATTTTTTTTTAAAAAATAGTTGTAATTAATGTAGAACTTGTTTTTGATGTCCTTTAAATTTGGATGACACGTTTACAATTTACATGACATTTTAATGTAGTAATGGCACATTTTGAATAGAATCAAAAATTAAATTGTAATGTCCCACGTCACCTGAGAGAGATTTGAAGACACTTATACGTGTGAATACCCCTTAGTTGGTAGACGCAATTTGAACAAAATCGTGAGTGCTGAGATAAAAATATTACAAAACAAATAATATTTATACGAACTGGGCGGATCGTGACAATAAAATTTCCACCATATTTCTTCTTATGCAAACAAATTATATTTTATTGAAATGACATAATTTAAAATCTTAAAATCCCATTTTAAGGGGTGCTCATCAGTCTTGTCTTACTAATTCATAGAAGTAACCAAACACTCAGCAGGTTGATAGAACTCTGTTAAATAAATTCAAATACCAATAGTTGGAGAACTTGTTCAATTTTATTGATTAAATCAATCTCTAATATTTTTTTGGTTCAAATAAATACACACAGTGACGGACCCAGAAATTTGTTTGGGTGGGGGTGATTTTAAACAATAATGAGGGCGTGAGTGAGAAGGAAAAAAAAAAAAAAAAAGTCAATGGGGGTAAAGGATTAAGTTATGGGGCATTTATAAAGTTTTGCAAGATTCTCTAGGTAAAAATAGGAATTTTTAAATTCCAGTGGGGGCAAAGGATAAACTTATGGGGGTATTTATATAATTACCTAAGATTTTCTAGATAAAATACAAAATTCTAAAATTTCAGTAGGGGCAAGTACCCCCACTGGGCCTCACATGGATCCGTCCCTGAATACACACTCATAATATTGTTCCTAATAAGACTCGTATACTCAATCTCTCATTTGAAGCATACAATTTGATTAACCCGGTAGAAATGAATATTAAATAATCATTTAATCAAAAATAAAATAAACATTTTTTTTTTTTTAAATTGTTGGTTAGTGTATTAGAATAACTCAAATAAATAAATAAGTGGGAATATGCCATGAGCTAATTTTAAAGTAGGAATGGCAAAAAGGCAATGTTAAAACAAACCATTTGACACCTAGCAAGAGGGACCACAGCAATAAAGTAACCTAATCTAAAGGACCACATAATGAAATTGAAAGAGGGCAAAAATGAAGTTGAAAGAATGGCTTGACTTGAACGACTCCACCATAACTAATCATTGGGAGGGATTGAAAATATGGCACAGAAAACCAATACCATCTCCGTACAAGTATTCATCATTTTAGCCGAGAGAAAAACTCCTTTAATATTTAAATTTTGGGTAAATATCACTCTTAATATTTTTTTAGAATATATAAGTGTATTAAGTTTTAAAAAATGATTAAAGAAGAGTTTGAGGTCACTGTTTAATTGCAAATTTAGTCTTGTGCATTGCATATGACATCTTTAAGATATAAAATTTTGAAAATACTATTTTTCTCTTTCAATAATTCCCTTATATATAAGAAGAAGAAGAAAAAAATGACACTTTAATCATTTTATATTTTATTATTTTTTACCTTTTTTGTATTCGGTTATAGAGGGATACTTGAGTCCGCATTTAGGTCCTTATTTTCTCAAAAATTAAAGGTTACGAATTTTTTACGCTGGCGACCCTTTCGCCAATGAAGTAGGAAGATCCTAATCCCTTTGGCAACCAAAGTTCTGATCGGGAAGAGTGAAAACCACCCATGGATCAGAGCCTGAATTTGAAATGGGTAAAATATTCTTTTTATATGGTGACCTAAGTCACATAGAGAGCGAATTCGAGCGAAAATTTAAGTCACATAGAATAGAAACGGGAGTGAAGGTGCGTGCAAAGCGTGAAAGCGACACTCGTCGACAAAATTTAAGTGACTTAGATAGTAACCACAACATGATAGGAATTACTAGTATATAATATCTTATTCCTATCTTTCTGGACAACATAGATGGTGGCAACAATTCCCAGCTTAAGGATTGTACAGCTGAGAGATTTGGCTCTAATTAGTAACATCCCAATCAATATAATACCTTGCAAAGATGTAGAAGGCCATTGAATGCAGATAGCTCCAGGTTCTACATGTAAATTTGCAATAAAAAATAGATTGTCATGGTATTTAATATTTTGGTGCCTTATGACTTTCTTGGGTAAAATATAGATAGGACGCCAATAAAATTGATTGGCAAAGAGAACTAATTTAACAAACTTTTTCCACCCATCAAAATAGAGCTAATGAGAAGTACAACTCTAAACCCCTTTGGTGATTTTGTCAACAAGCTCGAATAAAGTAAGGTTATGTTTGGCTATATGAAATTAAAGATTTGGAGTTGGAATCGGTAGAATTGAATAAAAACAATTTAGAAAATTGAACTAATTTTTTTTTTTTAATTTCACAAATTTTAATTTCAAAACTCCAATTCAATGCAGCGGAACAAAACTTAAAAAGAATTTCCAATAATTTGACTGGAAGTTGTCCTTCCTAGTTTCCATTGGAGTGGATGAAGGCTGCTTTA